TGTAGAAAGAGTAGTAGACGGAACCATGATAAAAATACCGCTACCGCTGCAGCCGAGTAGTGCACAGTCGATATATTGCCATCCGAACAAAATACAGGCCATACCATGATCAAGGCGGATATATGTAGAACCCAAGATATTAAATTGACTATTTCGAAGATATAGTGTAACCGTTGTTGGTACATTTGTAAAATTTCACGCAAAGAATTGCAGGCTATATAAACGACGATGGCTATAGCGCAGAATACCAAGGCGGTGGAATGATGTAGGCACTCATAGGTCTCGCCATATTTCATAGCAAAAGATTCTCCACCACCGGCTGGATTTTGTGACCAATCGGTGTTGCTGAGATTCTTCTGGTCACTGGTTGGGAGAAACACAAATAATTTTTGAGAAGTTTTTGTTGGTTTGAAAGCACGAAAAATACTTAGTTAAATTAGAGATGTTTTCTCAAACTCACTCTAAAATCGTGTCATTCGTCAGCGAAACATTCCAGTTATCCACAATGGACGAATTTATCGACAAAGGACGAATTTCGATGCCGTTCATCATCAGCGAAGAAAAAACGGTGACAAACAGCAGGAATATGGAATAGATCAGCAAGTTGGCAAGATGAAAATATTTGCCATATGAATTCCATTTCATTTGTAAATACTTTTGACTGAGTGGATGGGCGAGCAGCTCGACACGTCCATGGGTCACCATCGTCTGGATGTATGCAAATACATAGCATATAATTGAAATTAATTCACAAGGAAAAGCGTATGTATTAAAAATTAAAAGAATAAAGCAGGGATCACACGATTTGTACATTTGCACATTTGGCAGCCACAAAGTGGTGTTGTCTAGAAATTTGTGTCAAGAATGAGTTCAGCTCAACAACAACTTTCCAAACAACACCTCTCTCTTACCGTGAAAATGTACAAATCGTGTGATCCCTGCTTAATACGGGTTCAACGACATAAATATATGTGGATATTGATACAAGATAAAGAAAGAATTACATAGAACAACGGAATAAACAGTGATAGAACATCAACATAAAGGACGAAAAAATTTAAAATAAAAAATTCAGATTTTCATAACATTTTACAAAAGGCACAGAAAGCAAAAATGTATTCAAATCGAAAAATATAGTTTATAGCAGTCCAAACTCCAAAACTTTTACTTTTGTATGCACATTTGTACCTAACTAAGTAAATACAGACAAACACTTTCAAAACGGTTGCGAAATTATGAAAGAACAAATAACATTACATATTGCCAATATCCTACTTACATAACTTATAAACATAGAATATTGTTGAATGGTGAAAAACGTCGAAACATATACTATACATGCATTCAAATAAAAAAATATTGGGGGTATTCACCAAATTGAGCAAGCGACCTGGCACTCGGGAAAAAGA